TGTTTTTACAAAATCCATACATATTTTATAGTTATTTGAACTCGTGGTTTATGTCAACCTTGTCCAACTTTCCATCAACATCTCTCTTCTTCTGTTTTCCACAATACTTTTCAAAGAGAGAAACTATTATATGACCAAGTAAATTGACCAAGTAAGTGATTTTGGAATGACACCTTCAAAATGGTTGCTTGAGAGACTTGTTAGGAATATTGATGGAAACTCCGTCAGCATTCCACCAAAGTCTTTAAGCCAATTCCACAAAGACTACTGGTGGGAAAAAAGGACAAATATGACACAGTTCAAACATGAACAGATGGAAAATAACCAAAGTGTGGTTCATCAATTACTAGTGATCACGATAAATCGGGACTGATGAACAATTGAATCACAAAGTTAAAGAAAGAAAAAGTGTGTTTGTAATGACTGATTTGCGCCTTATTCTTTGTTATTTAATATACATCTTAAAAAAAGTGTTTTGCAAGTGTAATCTCACAAGTGTGGTCTAAGGACGTAGCTAGAGAGATTGTTTCTATAGACCCTCGACTCAAGATAAAGGTGTAGTGATCAAATTAACTCATAATTCTGTGTGTTTAAGTGGATCATCCATTCATTATGCTACTTAGTCCGGATCAAGAAAGAAACTGAAACAAACCTCCTAGCCGTTTTGTGAATTTTACATATTTTCCCTATTTGAAATCACCCTCGAAGTTGACAGCCAAATTTACTTTAGGACTTAAACTACACGGACATTTAAATACACCCTTAACAACTTTCAAGTGATTTTTATTCAACCCTCCCGTGACCAACCTTGAACTGGACTGGTCACAGGTATTACTTTTAGTTTACAGCAAATTACAGAATGTTCTGTTTTTACAAAATCCATACATATTTTATAGTTATTTGAACTCGTGGTTTATGTCAACCTTGTCCAACTTTCCATCAACATCTCTCTTCTTCTGTTTTCCACAATACTTTTCAAAGAGAGAAACTATTGCATGACCAAGTCAATTTAGAAAAAATAATAAAGACATGATGATGTTACTCTATTTCATCTTCCATACGACACTTTAATCAATCCAAACCAAGTTGTACGACTGCAATAATTTGGTGCAATTTTTCCATGAAATCTATTCAATATTCCGAGTGAGTGATTAGTTGTCTCTTCTGCGATTTTCAAACTTGTTAGGTACACAATAGTTTTCGCATTCCATCAATATTCCATTCCACCGAAGGAAAAAAGGGATACAGTATTGTAACTAGTGGACGATGACTTGTATGCCTTTAAGCCAATTTCCACAAAGACTAGAGGAAAAAAAAAAAGATTATGATGAATTGGTACTGATGAACAATTGAATCACAAGATGAGTACTACTCACTTCTAACAACTTGTTACTCATATTTTGTAGTGTTCCACAAGACTTGTTAGAGGACGGAGGAGACTTAACAAAATAATACTTCATATGTCCTCATTTTCTCTAGATGTTGTGTTCATTTCGAGGTCATTAACTATCTCTGCAGTGTGTGTTACGCAAGATGATGTGAAACTGGTCCCCCATTATGTGGAAAAAAATTCTGCAGAACTTCTAAGAAATTTCCAAGGAGAGAAACTATTGCTTGACTAAGTCAAGTGAGCAAAAAAAATGAAGAATAATTAAAGACATGATTTAAGTCCTTCATTTCCTCCGTGTGGAATTTTATTTTTGATAAAGTTGGTGAAGATCATTCCACCAGTAGATAAATTTTGTGAGAAATTTCCGATTAGTTGTCTCTTGTGCTGTTTTCATAGACCCTCGACTCAAGATAAAGGTGTAGTGATCAAATTAAGAAGATAAATAAAATGATGCACAAGCAAAGAAAACTGAGAGACTAATTGTATTGAAGGATCACAGTTTTCTGTTTTTCGCTTTTATAGATCTCATTGGCTAACCATCTTTAAGCATGAGGCTCCACATGACAGTTCAAACAAACAAATACACAACTGTAGCAAAATACGACTCTTCTTCGTCTTCAGACTCCAATGGATGAGGAACATGTGATGGATCCCTCGTCCCATACGAGTTATTTTCAAATGTGTTGAACTGTGAACCTTGAGGAATTTGTCCGACAAGAACATTCTGAGAGAGGTTTAAGACGGCTCAGGAATCTTCCTAGTGAGCCGATTCTATGAGAAATTTAAAACTTTATTTGTCCTAGTTCCATTAGAAAATCTCCTTTGAGATCGTAAATTGAGTAGCTAAAGTGAGCCAAGATCTTTTGTTGTTTTTGGAACGCCATCAAAATGGTTGCTTTTCATAACATTATAATTAATTAGTTTTACAACTCTTCATTTTGCTACTTTATTAGAGCAATAAGTGAACATTATAAGTAATACAACTACACTATATATGAGGGAAAATAAAAGGCAAATGAAGAAGAAGAATAAGAAAACAATAGACAAGTTGGGTATCAATTTCTTCAATAGATTTAGTAGGAAGGCATCTATTAATCTATAAATTGAATTCAATATTGGATTTTGAAAAATTTGAGTAACATAGCTAATGAGTGGATGTGTAAATCACTTCTGTCAACTTGGAAAAAAAAAACAGATTAACATAATCATTGATACTAAAATAGCACACATATAATTATATTTCTAACATATACAAACAACAAATAGAAAATTAAAAAAGACAAAAACAGAACAGTTCACTAATTAGTCCACAAAACCAAACAAAGACAATTTAGCCCTCTCAATCTTCCATTAAGTCCTTCATCTCTGAGCTCTCTTCTTTTGCCTTCCTCTTTTGTGAGGCATGAGTCCATCAAAAAATTCCACAAACCATTTTGGCTTACGATATTTAAACATGAGACTCCACATGAAAGTTCCAACAACTAGTCCAAAACTGTAGCCTATGATTACTGATTCCCAAGTAAATCCACTAAAAAAATATGACTCACCTTCTTCTTCGGACTCCAATTGTTGAGGAACATGCGATGAATCACTCGTTCCACATTTCTTTGTTAAAGGAAGACCACATAAATCAAGGTAGCCACCATATGAGTCATTTTCAAATGTGTTGAATGGTCGACCTTGAGGAATTGGTCCGACGAGATGATTTTGAGAGAGGTTTAAGAAGGCCAAAAAGTTCATTCTTGTCAATTCCTGTGGAATCTTTCCAGTGAGCCGATTCCAAGAGAGATCTAAAGCTTCAAGCATACTCAATTGTCCTAGTTTCATTGGAATATCACCTCTGAGATTGTTACGGGATAAATTGAGTAGCCAAAGTGAGCTGAGATCCTTTAGTGTTTTCGGAATCACACCTTCAAAATGATTGCTTGAGAGATCTATGGTTGTCATAATTGTGCTTATTCTTTGTAGCTCAATATCGTGCCCTTTGATTTCCAAACTCACTGAATCCTCATAGGATGTGACAAATGGCGAATTCGACAGAGATTCCATGTACATGATATTTCCTGTGTCTTCACCATCTAATTTGATCATTGCCTTGAAGTTTCCAAAAACTTTTGCAGGAAGTGAGCCACTGAAATCATTATGAGAAAGATCAAAAATTCGCAACTTGGGAAAGCAAAACTTAGTCAGACACGTACTTATAGGTCCATGGAACTTGTTCGACTTTAATATAAGGACCTACAGGTATTCAAGAGTTCCAAGCCAAGAAGGAAACTTGTCATTTATAGCATTGTTCCCCACATCAAGTACTTCTAGACCACTACACTTGAGCAACGACACAGGTACAGGTCCTTCAAATTGATTTACCATTTATGACAATGGTGCTCAACGAAGTGCTGTGTGCACATAATGGGGGAAGACTCCCTGTGAATTGTTCCTTCTTAAGTTCTAGCACCGTTAGACTAGCCATGCTTCCAAGCAATGTGAAACTGAGTCACTGAAGTTGTTGCGTGATAAATCAAGAAATTCAAGCGAGCTCATGTTACAAATGGATGAAGGTAGTGGACCCTGAAGGGAGTTAAATTTCAGATCAAGATACCCTAGATTATGGAAATGCAATTGTGGTAGGTGGCCTGTTAATGAATTATGAGAAAGGTTTAGGAACAGCAACGAGTCCCACCTCATGCCGCTAAACCAGTTAGGGATTTGACCACAAATCTTATTGTTAGAATTATCCAAGTACACAAGTGTCTTTAAATTTCTCAACTAGTGTGGAAAATCCTTCAGTTCACAAGATGATAAGAATAAAGATGATAGTCTAGGAAAGGTGATATTCATTCCCTCATCAATGGTGATGTTATTTGATGAAATATTAAGGGTAAAAAGGTTTGTGAGATTCACAAGTGATTGAGGAAAAGAACCACTGAGTTGATTATTGTTTAAATTCAGTTCTTCTAATGTTGGGTTTGTTTTGATCACTTCATCGGCTAGTTGGAGCGACACTGAAGATAGCAAAGGTAGGCTAAACAGGCCAAGATGGTATGGTACCATTCAGTGAGTTGTATGACAAATCCAGCTTGGTTCCTTGCTAGGCAGTGGGCCAGATAGGGAATTAGTCGACATGTCTAAGAATTCAAGATGTGTCAAGTTTAAAATTGAAGCGGGAAATGGACCGATGAAGTTGTTATGGTAAAGATATATGGAACGTAGCTCTTGGAGGTTAGAGATATTCAAGGAACTAAAGGTGCCAATTGAATGAGGCAGCTCACCAGAGATGCCTGTGGATGAAATATCCAACTCCATTAACAAAGTGTTGCTTTGGTGGATCTTTGGAAAAACTCCTTTGAGAAGATCATTATCACTCAATTTGAGCGTTTCCAAGCTGTTTGACGGAAGGAAAAAGCTCTCTATGAGAACACCTCGCAGATTAGTATAACTAAGATCCAGGTACCTTAAGGAGGAAGAAATATTCACAGGTATCGGAGATGAGATGTTGACATGAAAGAGAGAAAGTACCTCTAGATTACTGAAGTTTTGAAGCATTGTTTCAAATGTTCTCTCATCAAGTTCTAATCCATAACCATTAGAAAGATGAAGTGAAACCAAATTAGAAAGGTATGAGATTTCTGTTGGGATTTTCCCTTGAAACCAAGCATCAGAAAGGTTGAGATGCCTCAAATTCGTCAATCGGCCAATGTTATGTGGGATTGAAGATAATTGAAGTGGTTGTTATCAAGGTTTAGTGTGTGGAGATGATGAAGTTGGAAGAGGCTGCTGTTGAGATGAATAGTTCCACAAAGCTGACTACAACTAAGGTCCAACCCGATAACATTACCGTTTAACATGTCACAAGTGACTCCGTCCCAAGTGCAGCAATCTCTACTCTCATTCCAAGACTTTGTTTTTGGGAAAGAAGTATAACACGAGGAGTATTCGGATTTAACTTTAAAGGATTGCTTAAACTGAAGCAAAGCAGAAGCTTCAGTGGGAGAGCAAAGATAATGATCAAAGGAAGAACAATAACATAGACTTATAAGCAACACAAAACACAGAAATGAATAAAAGAAAAAGAAACTCACCATTTTCTTTGGTTCTTTGTTTTCAGCAAATAACAGGATGTGTTCTTCTTACAAATCAATTAGCATTATCCATATTCTACTATATTAGAAGAGTCAGTAGAAATAGGGTATCACACTATACCAAAAGAGACTTTTAGTGGCATTTAATTCTCCTTTTAGCGGCAATAATTATTGCCACAAAAACATTTACCGGCATTTAATTTATTGACATTGCATCCAATGTCGCTAAAGCCTTTAGCGGCATTTATTTAGAGTGCCGGTAAAGACCTCTATTATTGCCGCTAAAAGTAAATATTTTTAGCAGCAATTACTATTGCCAGTAAAGTTGTCTTTAAAAATGTGATATCAAACATATCCTGTAGCTTCTGTTATTGCCAGCAAAGAAGCAATAGACGACATATTTAACCACTTTTTTATAGCATAAAAAAATTCATAAGAGAAATACATTCTTTTTTTGGTAACTAAATTTTTTATTAATCACCCAAGAGAAAACATTACAAAACTGTTGCCTAGTAATAACTCTGGCAAGCTTGTGACAAGAAATTCAAAGAAAACACAGTTAACAATTTGCTAAGGGAACATATTAACAGATGTCTTTTAGCACTAATCCTCCAATACCTGGACAAGCTCTCATGTGGCAGATATATACCACTTCTTTGATAGATAAGTCCTTCCACCTTTTAGGCTGCTTCTCAAGAATCCTTTGGTTTCTCTCAAAATTCAGCAAAGAACATTATGATCTACTCTAGATGTGTCGAGTGATTGATTATCCATTGGATGAATAGCTCTCAATTCACTGCCATGAAAAATCCAACTTCATTGATCACCACGACACATAACAAGCTTATCACCACGAGAACCAAGGCAATCACTCCACCGATTATGTATAAGCATTATATTTCAATAAGTTAGCACAAATCAAACATCCAGAAACTTATTCGAGACAGTTAAAAGGTAAACTTAATGATCAAATCTATAAAATCAAAGTCAGTTTTTTTTAACCTCTGAGGACTTAAAATCTTTGACTTATAAGTTAAATAAACACTACACAATCAAGCAAATTAGAGAGCTTATGCAAATGAGCCATGAATGAAAATCATGATTTCAAGCAAATTAGAGAGCTTATGCAAATGAGCTATGAATGAAAATCACGATTTTAAATTAAGTAGCAAGACTTGGCTCCCCTTAATATTAGACCCTTATTAAGGAACAAAATGTGAGATTACCACCCTTATTGTAATTTCAGTCATGATTCTCTATAAGTTTTACTCATTTTATTGACCTCTAGATCACATCCTTAATTGTGTTATAGACACCCTTTGAAGAGAGTAGCCAAAGCTTTGAGGCTAAGCTTCCAATCTTATTCATAAACACTCCCTCACCACTTCCAAACATTTTCTGTTTTCTGTCCTTTTTTGCAACTAGCCACTTAGAAAGGAAAAGACCACAAAGATCAGCAAAGGCATTTAGCTCCATCCAACGAAAATGACTACTGGCTTCCTTTCGTGTTTCATAATTTTGTTATGTGTTCTAGCCTTACCAAGTTTGGCATCTGAAAATTCTCATGAATCAAGAAACAGAGCCACACACATCTTAAGACATGTATATAGAGTGCTAAAAAAAAAAAAGGGAAGGTGAAGGTGCAGGAAGAGGAGGTAAATTCCATTTGGATACATATATCAATGAATTTGAGTTAAAAACTAAGCATTTGATAGCTCATGTCGGAAAGGGATAGAAAGAAAGGGAACCATATGGGAGTTCAAACAACTTTGATCATATGTGTCCTTGTAAAAGTTCAGTGTTGTCCCTTAAGCATCCATTAATACAAACTACTAGGCTAAGTAAGATAAAATGTGAGATTTCAACTATTATATAACTACTAGGCTATGTAAGATAAAATCCCCATGAACAAAGAAAATAGAGAAGCATGTGTTTTACTCATTTAGCAACAAAGAAGATGGAGAATGGAGTAGGTAGAAGCTGATAAGTAAAAGCTAAATGATGGAGAGACGTATGAATTGAGAAAATTATTTCCTGGAATGAGGCTCCGTTTTAAGTACTATTTTTTGATTTCATCTAATGAAGTTTGAAATATATTTTACACTTGAGGAGTATAATTGTTTACTGAGATTCAATTCTCTGTTTAATTGGATTCCTATTCAATGTTCGTCTAGGAAATTTGCATTTCTAGCCTGATTGCAACATCAATCAATCAAGATCGGTAAATTTGTAATTTCAATTTTGTCCATAGTAGATTAATAAATTCAAATATTTTCTTGCATGCATCTCTGTAATTTTGATCTAAACATGTAAAAGGTACTTCAGATCATATGTTGGGCCTGTGCACAGCACGGGTATTAAGCATCTAGTGTATATATGCTACTTTCTAAGTTGCAAGTGTGTCCCACGTAATTTTTTTATAGATCGTAAGAACAATCAAAATTCTAGCCTCAGAGTTGTCTCAATAAGTTTGAGGGCCTAAAGCCAAATTTCACTGCGAGACCTTTTTTTTTAGTTGTCATACATAAATTGAATACCTATAACATACTGATTAATGTGATCCTACAAGTAAAGTTTCAAGAAGGTAGGATGTACACAGAGTCATAGACCATTCTGAAGTAAGAATACAAACAACGGAAATTTTCAATGAAAAAATATATAATATAAAGTTAGAATAATAAAATCTTACTCTAAACCACGTAATATTGTCACTCAATTATGCACTATTCTCTCAGATCACTCAACTTTGAGTTTTAACTCAAAAGTCACTTAACTATGAATTTTTTTCTCAGAAAGTCACTCAACTATGACTTCTTTTCTTAGAAAGTCACTCAAGTTTGAATTTTAACTCAAAAGTATCTCAATTATGAGTGTTTTACTTACAAAGTCACTCAACGTATAAGTATTTTACTTACAAAGTAATTTGACCTATTTAATGATTTTTTTAATTTAAATTTGCTGTATAAAATTTTATTAAAAGCAATATTTTAAAAAATAAAAGAATATTCATTTAAATCATTTAATTGAATGACCATTGACCTATTTTATTTTACTGCTAATTCTCCTAAATTATTGTCGGATTCTTTCTCCTCTGCTTAAGGAATTCTGATGCATGAAATTATTTCAGTATTATTTTTGAATTCCAATTAAAAAAATCAAAAGAGGAAGAAGAGGCAACAACTGAGGAAAGGGGGGGAGGGGCGAAGAGGAAATTAATTAGTAGAGCTTGTATTAGTAGTGCTTGCATTAGTTATGCAAACATTATTTCTTATACACTGTGTGATTTGATGTATTAGAAATAACAAATTTTGCATAATTTATATTTTAAAATATATGTTTACAAAAATACGCTTCACACTTTATTTATTTATACACTTCCTTTGCAACAAAGTTCTTTGCTAAAACATTAAAAAATATTTCTTTGCTAAAACATCATTAACTCTCCTTCTTCTTCTTTTTTTCAAAAATAATATTAAATAGTTGTACTATTTAGTCAAAATATTTTTGTGAAAAGTTGGCAAAGAATTCTTTTTATCAAATTTATCAACACAATAATAAATTTTTTAATTAAATTATGTTGAAATTAGATTTTTTTTTTATTTTTAAAAAAGATACTTAATTTAAGAGACCATAAAGTCTATTAATACACCAAAAAAATAAAAGACATTGAAAAACATATAAAAATAAAAAGGGATGAAAGAAAATGAAAAGAAGAGAAAATGTTAGAAAATGTTTTAAAAAGGCTTTGAGGGTAGTTTTGTAATTTTTTAAGGGACAAGGCATAAGTACCCTCTAGACTATGACCGAAATGTCAGAGACACACCAAAACTTAACTAAGGTCCTATTACCCCCCTAAACTAATTTAAAATGAAATAAATACACCACAAACGCTGACATGACATAGAGAGTGTGCACACTCTCTTGAAGGCAAGTGATGATTGCACAAATTGGACATATGTCATTTTTTATTGGTAACTTTATAATTAGTTAGTACATATATTTTTTTATAATAAAACTTATATATATTTAATTATTTTTATTTATTTCTTTGTAAAATATTTATTTTAATTTCTTTTCACTTTTAAACTTTTTTATTTAATTTATTATCTTTTCACTTTTAATTATTTTAAAAAAATTATGTGTATTTTTTTAATTAAAAAATTTAAAAGTGTCCTTTAATTCTAACATTTTAATTTTTTTTATGTTTTATTTGATTTTCTTCACTTATTTTGATATCTGTTCAAAATTAACTTATTTTAAATACAAGACATTTGGAATTAAATCAAAATGAAAGACAAAGAATATAAAATCAATAGAAAAATAAAAAAGAAAAACAATGAATTTAGGTTAAAAAAAGTTTCGATACAACTTAAAAAAATGTGTATTACTCGACATGTCTAAGTATTCAAGATGTGTCAAACTTAAAATTGAAGAGGGAAATGGACCGATGAAGCTGTTATGGTAAAGATTTAAGGAACGTAGCTTTTGGAGGTTAGAGAAAACATTAGGAATTTCACCTGAAAAGGAGTTGTCAGAAAGATCCAAACTGGTGAGGTGCTTCAATTTAGAGATTGTGGAAGGAATATGGCCAGTGAAACGATTACTCGAAAACCACAACTCCGTAATTTGTGTTAGGTTGCCTATGGAATCAGGAATTGAACCAGAGAATTGACATCCATAGAGGCTCAAGATATTCAAGGAGCTGAAGGTGCCAATTGAATCAGGCAGCTCACCAGAGATTCCTGTGTATGAAATATCCAACTCCATTAACAGAGTGTTGCTCTGGTGGATCTTTGGAAAAACTCCTTTGAGAAGATCATTGTTACCCAATTTGAGAGTTTCCAAGTTTGGCAGAAGGAAAAAGCTCTCTGTGAGAACACCTCGCAGATTAGTATAACTAAGATCCAGGTACCTTAAGGAGGAAGAAATATTGACAGGTATCGGAGATGAGATGTTGACATAAAAGAGAGAAAGTACCTCCAGATTTGTGAAGTTGTGAAGCATTGTTTCAAATGTTCTCTCATCAAGTTGTAATCCAAAACCATTAGAAAGATCAAGTGAAACCAAATTGGAAAGGTATGATATTTCTGTTGGGATTTTCCTATCAAAGGAAGCATTAGAAAGGTTGAGATGCCTCAAATTCCTCAATTGGCCAATGTTATGTGGGATCGAAGAAGGATAAAACCAATTGTAAGCAAGGTTTAGTGTTTGGAGATGATGAAGTTGGAAGAGACTGCTGTTGGGATGAAAATTTCCAACAAGCTGACTACAACTAAGGTCTAACCTGATAACATGACCGTTTAATAAGTCACAAGTGACTCCATCCCAACTGCAGCAATCCCTACTCTCATTCCAAGACTCTGTTTTTGGGAAAGATGCTCCATCACACAGAAAACTAAAGTACTCTTCGGAAATTTGAAAGGATTGCTTAAACTGAAGCAAAGCAGAGGCTTCAGTGGGAAAGCAAAGATGATGCTCAAAGGAAGAAGAAAAGCATTCACTTATTAGCAAAACAAACACAGAAATGAATAAAAGAAAAACAGACTCATGGCCATTTTTTGTTTGTTTGTTTTCACCAAATAACAGGATGGATGTTCTTCTTACAAATCAATCAGTCTTATCCACACATATATATACTAGTTTCTAAGTGTCCTATGTAAATTGAATACCTATAACATACTGATTAATGTAATCCTACGAGTAAAGTTTCAAGAAGGTAGGATATACACACACCTTTATGAAGTAAGAATACAAACAACAAAAATTTCAATGAAAATATAATATAAAGTTAGAATAATCAAATCTTACTCAAAACATTAAGAAGATTCAACAATGGTATTGAAATAATTGCGCTGAATTTGATAAGTTGATATAATAATATTAAAATAGTATTGATTTCGCTACATAAAAAATTATCTATATATAACGGCAATTAATTTAGTTTAATTGCCGCTAAATATGTATTTTTAACGGCAATTAACACTCTTTGCATATGTCCCTAAAGCCTTTAGCGACATTGAATCTAATGACA